AATCACGTTTAAAGGTGTCTAAGCATGGTTTCGGGTTCCACAAAGGTTCCCGGGGCGTTATTTGTGAAAAAGAGTCAGTGGGGGGTAGGTGGGGGTAGGGGACTCGCCACCTACCCGCGGCCAGTTTTGACGTCGCCAGCAGCGGGCAGGCGACTGCCCGCCGGGCACCCGCTGCCCGGAAATTCGTCGCCGGCGGGTGACCCTTCACCCACCGGCTACCCGCTGGAAATTGTCCCACTTCGGGATCCCGGCCTCCCCGCTTGATGTTCCCCCGACCCCCGTGGTGTCCCAACGGACTCCGTCTATCGTGCATATGTCTAGTTTGATGTTCGGGTACCATTCGTAGGTTGAATAAGTCTTATATATTACATGCTAGTTGAATTGGTATCCTGTTGGCCTAGGTGTGAGAAGTATGAACCCCTTAGGTTTATTCTTAGTATGTGGATGATCACGCATATGTTTCGTTATACGATTTCTCCCCCTTCCCAATGTGTCAATGTGGGTTGCATGTGTTTGATATGTGTTATGTGTGCATGATACCCCAATTTGGTTGCGATCAAATTGGTTACTCCTGAGCTGCGGTTCAGAAGCTGGCTGCGGTCAAATTTACACTCTCGGGCTGCGGTCCACCGTTTGGTTGCGATCAAACGTTTTACATGAGCTGCGGTTCATATTCCTGGCTGCGGTCAGATGACTACTCTTGGGCTGCGGTCCACTGTTTGGTTGCGATCAAACATTATGATGAGCTGCGGTTCACGGTCGGTTGCGATCGACCCCTCCGTGTTACGATACGGGGCAGGGTGCTGCGGGGCCGTGTCAGAGCTATATGCGCTGACCCTCATGTATGGGCATGCGATTGGTCCTGTGGCGCCAACAAAGTGTGCTATGTGATGAGATATGGATGGTTTGATGATTACAAATGTTATGAAAGTGTGACCATAGGATACATGCTAGTAAACCGTATATGCTTGGTTATGACTATTGGCTATGCTTATCTCTATCTGTCGAGTCTGTTCCCTATGCTTGTAAATTGTGTGACTGTTGACTGTGCTTGTCCCTATCTGTCGAGTCTATTTCCTGTTTTAAAAGCTAGAGTCTCTTAGGATATATCTTCATGCTTCGAAATGGTTTTTCTTATATCTATGTATATATCTATATGTACTGTATTTCAACGCGTTGGAGTGGGTTACCAGCATCTCTCGCTGAACAGATATATTTGGCTTTCAGGTACAGAGGAGTAGACACTGGAGCGCGCTAGAGTCTTGGAGCGTAGAAGTAGATAGTTTCCCTTTCGGCCTGCGTGCCACGCTTATGCATTTACATTATTGAGGATATTAGTTAGTTAGCCTATGCACCTGAGTTCTATAGCTCAAGTGTGCATAGCACCCCGTACTCTTTATGTTATATCTTGGGATTTAATGAGAATTTACCTTTATCATATAAGTCTTAAAAGTTGAAAAATTTTGGGGTGTTACAATGCCACTGCTCCCAAGTAACAAAATGGTTGGCTAGAAGTGAGATCAGCCAACCATGAGCTTTATCCCTTAATGAGAAGGGAAAAAGTCGAAGCTTGATGGCTTCTTGAGGAACTCCATTGATTTTGAAAGTGCCACATATACGGAGGAACTTTGTGATATGGGCATTGGGATCCTCTGTGGGTGACCCTCTAAATTGATCAGAAGTGATCATGTGCAAGATGACCGGCTTGATTTCAAAGTTGTTGGCCTCCACACCTGGAACATTAATGGTATTATGCTCCTCAACATCGGGAGCAATGTAGGCAGACATGGATCTCCCCAAGGGTGGTGGTTGATTGAGTCCATTGTCATGCCCCTCACCACTAAGGTTCAAATTGATTTGGTTTCCTGGTCCATGTGCCATCCTTCTTTGTTTGATAAGAAACTTGCCTCTTTTCTCAACCTCAAGGTCCAAAGGCAATAATCCTACATTTCCCAAAGATCGTGTGCGCATACACCACCAAGTTCTTAGATCCAAAACAAAATCACAACTCAACAAAAGCAACTTGTTATCGGTTAGCAAGAATAAAATAAAACAAAAATGGATTAGACTTCTAGAATAAAACTTTCACTAATGTCAATACTTAAACGCCACTTCCCCGGCAACGGCACCAATTTGATTGCAGTATATTTCTCAAACATATAATTTCTCAAAGTAACGAGTTATCGATCCACAGGGAAGTTGAGCGTATCAAACACTAGCTACTAATATATTCTTGTGAAGCTAATCCTAACGAAAGACATGGATGATTGTGTGACACTACTTTAAAAACAAAGTATGCAGGTTTGAGAAACAGTAGAGAGAGAATGAGATTCCTGGGATTCAAGTATTTAATCACCTACTGTCAATCTAATGTGTAATATTAAATCTCACTTCAAACAAATGTGAGAATGCAAATAGGGGAAAGAGTTACTCCCGTAATCTCTAACGTAAGTGAATATTCGCTCCCACGATATAAACACAAAACAATGAAAGGACAAGCATTCAATATAAACTCTTAACTACTACCATCTCCCGATGTGCAATAACTAAGAATTAATTCCCTAACATATATGCCCTCTCCCAAGGTGCAAAAGTTAAGTGCAAACGTGAGTGCCCCAAAATATGCCTAACTCCCGTTATGACATAAATAAAGCTCTGAAACGAGTAATTCAAGCCTGAACTACTAGCAACAACGATAAAATCACAATTGCAACACAACACAAGTATAAAACCCAAAAAAATAATATATTAAAGATTATGAGAACTGGGCACAAAGGTTCATAAATACTTTTATCCAAGAATCTCTAGCTTTTCTTCTTGCTTTCCAAGACAACTTGCATTGTAGCTCTCAATTCTCTTCTTTCTTGTCTCCAAAACTCAGCATAACTCAACTAGGGTTGAGCAAGGCGGGATTTTATAGTGAGAACTGACGGAATGTGGATTTTTACATCCACTTGTAGTGTAGTGGGATGGAGTGATGGAAAGTGTAAACGGAGATGTGAAATCCCCTAGTGTCGTTCTCAAAGGATGGACACTTGGAATTGAATATTGCATTAGCGAACACAAGCACACAAGTGCACAAGGAAGCTAGAGGGAAGCATTGTACGCAAGGATGCAAGGGAAAGAACATAACAAAGGAAACAATTAAACAAGGAAAATAAAGTGGCGAGTTGGATTGAATCACTAGATTTATGCATGCTTTGGACTACGGTGGATTTGGTGCAATGCAATTTTGGCTCACTTTTGGGAGTGTGACTAAGACATTTTGTCAAACACTTATCCCACGCCTCCTTCCGGGCCTTGCCATCTCGGATCGAAGGACGGGGAAAGCCAATATGTAGGACTCCGTAGAATTGCAATCTCTTGCCAATTCTACTCTCCTAAACACCTCACTCATCCCAACCAGTAATGAGGAGAGGATCAACACAATACACTATTCGCAACAAAAGCATCAAGACATAATTTCATCATCAAATCTCCAAGCAATTACGGATCACGCGCACACAAGATCTAGATCATCAAATCCAACACCTAAATTACCTAGCCACACATCATATAATTAAAATCACACAAGTAGAAAATCAAATCTAGCAACTTCAAGAGATGGAATGGAGAAATTAAGGCATGAATTAAAGATACGAAGGAAGATAATTACCAAATTGAATCTACAAGTGCAAAATCTTCTCTCTCTCTCTCTCTCTATATATATATATATATATATATATATATATATATATAACACCTTCGATCTTAAAGCCTAAAGGCACAACAACGTGCACTATACAGCACAACAATGTGCTCTGGAAGAAGTGAAAATGTGCACTGGAACACTGGAAAGACAAAAATGTGCATGGTAAAGTAGAAAATATGAAATACTTATTGAAAATACTAAATTAATGCATGATCTTCAACACACATCATAAACAATCACAATATTCAACTAAAATTAGTAATTAGTAATTCATTCAAGATCAAATACTCTTTAAAATTATATATATATATATATATATATCTATATATATATATATATATATATATATATATATATATATATATATATATATATAACACCTACGAACTTAAAGGTTGAAGGCACAACAATGTGCACTCTAAGGCACAACAATGTGCTCTGGATGAAGGGGCAATGTGCACTGGTACTCTGGAGATCTTAAAGGTTAAAGGCACAACAATGTGCACTGGAAGGCACAACAATGTACTCTGTATGAAGGGACAATGTGCACTTGAACTCTGAAAAAATTAACTAACTTACACAAAATTACAAAAATGTCACCGCGTTTTTTTTTTTAAATTTGCTTCATTATGGACGTTGATCTGATCTGAATCAATGGTTAAGATTACCTCTTATTTCTCATCTAAGGATTTTATTTCACTAGATCCTTTATCCAACGGGTATTGTTCTTTACAAGTCTTTTTCTTACCCCTGTAGATAAAGGCTTTGTCTGATAAAGAAAAATGTGAGAATATAAATTTTACCTGATTGAAAAGCCAAGCTCCAAATTGCTCTTCCTCAATCTTCTGTTTGAGTCTTGGTGATGAAGTGCTAGGTTTTGGGCTATATTTATAGGTGATTTAGGAGTGTTTGAGTACAACATGGAGTTGGGAAATTGAGTTTGATTTTAATTGGGTTTATTAGTGTGGTATGGAATTAGGTTTCTTCTATGTGATTGCTGGAAGATACAGGCCAGTGAATTAAACATGCAGTTTTTAAGGATTTTTTATTTAAATCTTAATAATTCAGCCAGACAGGTGAGTTTTAATGGGAGTTTGAAATTTATTAAATTTAACAGAGAATTAATAATAACCCCAATTCCGCTAGACTAATAATAATACCCTGTTTATATTCCAAACTTTCTCTCTCTAGAATTCTCTCTAGGGTTTTGGGGTTCTTCCTAGGGTTCTGCTAGGGTTTCTGGCTTTCCGGTAAACGTTTGGTGTCTCCGGAATTATTTGGGCGACGGCAGACGGCTTCACCGTCGACGATGGACTCCACGCAGTACGAAGGGAATGCTGAGGACGCAGACCAGCGTGAAGGGGCGGACGAAGCCGTGGAACGGCTGACGCAAAGGTGGGCGGACCTGGCGATTGAGGAGGAGGAGGATGTCGGGCTCGAACCGGTTGGTAATGATGTCGGAGTGGTGGCGGAGGAGGAGGAGAGGTCTTGGGTTTGTGTGGGGCGTTTCTTGACGTCCAAGGTGATCAAACTTGAGTATATGCGGCAAGTCATGGCTTCGGTATGGCAGCCGGTTTTGGGTATGCAAGCTACGGAGATTAGGCCAGGCGTGTTCATGTTTATCTTCTTTGATGAAACCGACATGCGAAGGGTTCTCGATGAAGGGCCATGGTCGTTTGATAACAATACTCTGGTTTTCCGGCATGTTATGGTGGGGGTTCGGCCTGGGGATGTGGAATTAACCTCTGTGGACATGTGGGTCCAAATGTATGATCTTCCGGTGGGCTATACATCCGATGTGGTTTTAGAACAGGCAGCCAATTTTATTGGTACTTTTGTCAAGATGGATGATTGTTTTCCTGGGGCACCATGGAAAACGTTTCACCGAGTTCGTGTGTCAATCCCGGTTGATAAGCCCCTAAAGAGAAGAATGAAGTTGATCAAACGGGACAAGACAAGTTGCTGGGTGAATTTTCGGTATGAACGTTTGCATACCTTCTGCTTCTATTGTGGTATGTTAGGGCATTCATATAAGTTTTGCAAGCTGGCAAGATGGTCGGGGTTGACCCCGGATCAATATCCATACACGGATGAGTTGAAGGCGGGGGGGGGGGGGGGGGGGGGGGGGAGCCCGTGGCTCGCGTCAGGTGGGTGAGCCGTGGCTTGTCCCATTAGATGGGAAGGGGAGGGAGGTGAGGGGTGTGGGCGGAAGGGTGGTGGAGGCGGGTTCGGGTGAAGGAGGGGCGGTGGTTGCGGGTTCGGGTGGAGGGAGGGAAGAAGAGACGGTGGGGTGGTGGCGATGTCGAAAAGGAGAAGGGGGGTTGATGGTGATGTGATCATGTCAGAGGTGCCAAAAAATGGGTTTCCGGCGGGTCCTGTGAGTCAGGACCGCCCTTCATCATGAGTACGATAAGTTAGAACTACCGTGGACTGGGCAATTCACGGACAGTTCGAGAAATTGTGGACCTTGTGTCCCGAAAAAAACCCGATTTCGTCTACCTAATGGAAACAAAGGTGGGACGAACACATGCTGAGAGGTTACGAATAAAGATTGGTTTTGAAGGCTTGTTCTATGTGGACAGTGTGGGTACATGAGGTGGCTTGGCATTGTTATGGAGGAGGAATAACACTGCTAGGCTGTTGAGTTTTTCGAAGAACCATGTGGATATTGAGGTGGCTATAAGGGGGGGAAGTATGGCGGATGACGTGCTTTTATGGTTTTCCACTGAGGAATAGGCGGAGGGAGGCCTAGCAGGTGTTGAGTGGTTTGAAAGGGAGGTCTACGCTACCATGGGTACTACTGGGAGATTTCAATGATCTTCTATACCAACAGGAAAAGAGAGGGGGTAATCCGCATCCGGATAGCCTGTTGCGGGGCTTTGGGGAAACGTTGGATAACTGTGGTTTAATCCAGCTACCGATGAGAGGGCATCAATTTACTTGGGAGAAGGGAAAGGGTACAGATCGATGGATAGAAGAGAGATTGGATAAGGTGCTTATAACGGCGCAATGGACTGATATGCATGGGGGGGCTGGGTTGAGAATGTTCGAACTGGCAACTCAGGCCACTCGGCGCTGTTTCTAAACACTGATACAGCACTGCGTGGACAAGGGGGACCGAGGGGCTTTCGTTTTGAAATGGCCTGGGTTCAGGATGATGGTTGTAAGGAGGTAGTTGAGATTGGATAATGTCTTTCGATTCAATTAGAAACAGGATAGAGATTACAGAGTATATCACAACTAAAACTCTAACTAACCCTGATAAGTAGAACTAGTCTTGACTAACTAATAACAACCACATAATACAAGACTATACATTATACAATAATAATATGAAATAATAACTTCACTAATACACCCCCTCAAGCACAAGGCGGCAGAGAGGCCACATTGAGCTTGCCTCGTAGAGCAGAAAAACACGGTGACGGAAGCGGTTTGGTGAAGATATCGGCTAACTGATCAGTAGTAGACACATAATTCACCAAGAAGTCGCCTGAAGCAACTTTATCACGGACAAAGTGGTAATCAATCTCCACATGCTTAGTGCGAGCATGGAAGACCGGATTCGCACACAGATACGTAACACCAAGATTGTCACACCATAACGTTGCTGGTTGACCAGAGTGTAACCCGAGCTCCTGAAGCAACGAAACAACCCAGGTGACTTCAATGGATACATCAGTTAACGCTTTATACTCAGCTTCAGTAGAAGAACGGGTCACAGTACACTGCTTCTTGGACAACCATGAGATTAGATTAGAACCCAGATAAACAGCGTAGCCACTTGTACTCTTCCTATCAACGGGACAACTAGCCCAGTCAGAGTCCGAGTAGGCATGAATAGCAGTAGACACGGACGGAGTAAGCTGCAACCCAAAGTCTAGAGTGCCTTTGATGTAACGAAGGACCCGTTTCACCAGATTCCAATGCTCCTCCGTCGATGTATGCATGAATTTACAGAGTCGATTGACCGCATAAGACAAATCGGGAAGCGTGATCGTCAGATACTGTAAGGCACCAACAATGTGCCAATACTGCGTCGGATTATCATAAGGCGTATCCACCGGAGTGATTGACTTGGTGACAGCTGCTGGGGTGGCAAGGGGCTTACAATCAACCATGCCGGAGCGGCCAAGGAGATCTGTCATGTAACGTCGTTGCGATAAAAGTAGACCATCATCCACCACAATTGTCTCGATACCCAAAAAGAACCCCAGTGCTCCTAAATCTCGGATCTTGAAGGTTGTAGACAGTCGTTGTAGCAAGGTAGTCACTAGTTTGGCATCATTGCCCATCATAATGATGTCATCTTCATAGACTAGCAAAAACACACGGGAGTCTCTTGCTGTGTAATACAACAAAGAGACATCAGTTTTGGATGCTTGAAAACCTGTGGATAACAGAAAATCATGAAGACGTTTGAACCAGGCTCTGGGCGCCTGTTTCAACCCGTAAAGAGATCTCTGCAAGTGACACACATGGCCAGGCGTCATAGGATCCTCATACCCCGGAGGTTGTTTCATGTAAACTGTCTCGGCTAGATGGCCGTTTAAAAAGGCGTTGTGAATGTCAAGTTGCCGTAGAGTCCAACCTTTGGACACAGTCAAGGAAAATAGCATTCAAACTGTGGTGGTTTTGACTACCGGACTTAATGTGTCAAAAAAGTCCTCCCCCGCAACCTGGTTAAACCCTTTCGCAACCAAACGAGCTTTATAACGCTCTACTGACCCATCCGCAGTACGCTTAGTGCGAAACACCCACTTGCACCCAATAATATTCATATGGGGTTCGGGTGGGACTAAGCGCCAGGTGTGATTGTGGAGAAGAGCATTAAACTCCTGATCCATGGCTTCACGCCAGTGTGCATGACCAACTGCCTGGGAATAACACGTCGGGTTTGTACTGACAGTCAAAGCCTGAAACGGCTCAGCCGTACCCTTGGTCATGTGTCGAAGGCGCATAACATGGTCCCGCCCTTGTGGTTGAACACGCCGCTTACGGGTCCGTGCCGGGGCAGTGTGAGTGATCGCCAACTGTGGGGGATCACGAGCCAAGGGTATGGGTTCAGCCTCAGCTACCACTCGTGGGCCCGATGGGTCAGTGGGCACTATTGATGAACTGGTTGTGACAATAGATGCCGCCGCCCAGGGTAGACTCAGTGGAGGCGGAACTTGTTGCACATTCTTTGCTGAAAAAGGAAATACATGTTCATCAAAACGGACATGGCGGCAGATATAGGTCTTACCACTAGCCAAGTCAGTGCATCTGTATCCGCTAAAGGTGGGAGGGTAACCTAGGAAGACGCACGGGGTGGAGCGATACTCTATCTTATGTCTGTTGTATGGGCGCAGATATGGGTAACACTGACACCTGAAGACGCGAAGAAAGGTATACGGAGGTGGTATTTTGAAGAGACGAGTGTATGGACTATCATAATTTATGGCCGAGGACGGTAAGTAATTGATTAAGACAGTTGCTGTTTCAGAAGCATATTCCCAATATTCGTGAGGTACTTTTCCCTCAGCAAGTAGAGTGATGCCCATTTGGACAATGTGTCTATTACGGCGCTCTACACGCCCATTTTGCTCATGTGTGTACGCACATGACTGGCGGTGATTAATACCTAAGGTTTGAAATACAGTATGCAATTTTCTGTACTCACACCCTAGATCGGATTGGATTGAATTTATAGAACGCCCAAATTGGCTCTCGACCAACACACGAAACGACTCAAAACATTTATATATGTCTGATTTTACCCGTAATGGATAAAACCAGCAGAAGCGAGAAAAATCATCTACAAATAAACAGAAATAGCGATCACCACTAACAGATAATACCGGGGACGACCCCAAAATATCAGTAAAAATAAGATCTAGTACATTTTCACTAGAACGTGGTACACTATCTAACTTAAAACGCCATGATTTCCCGAGATGGCACGAGACGCAGAAACTGACTGTAGCATTTTTATTGGGTTTGACTGGGCAACTTTGTAGGACTTTATTCTGAACGTTTTTATGCGGGTGACCGAGCCTTTGGTGCCAAACCGTAGGGGTGGCCCGGGAACTGACATATGCAAAATGTGAGGGTGACGTCGAAAGCTTGTAAAGGCCGCCCGTAGCAGGACCCCTAAGCAGGACCGCTTTGGTGATGGAATCCTACACAAAAAAAAAAAAAAAAAAAAAAAAACAGGAATCATGAAACTCAAAATATACACCGTTATCAACTGCAAATTTATGAACAGAAAGTAACGGGACCGAGAGATTCGGGATATGTAATATATTATTTAAACAAAGGTATTTTGACGCAGAAGGGAGAGATGCACGACCAACTCGAGTAATAGCCAAACCTGCGCCATTACCCACACGTAGCACATCAGAACCAATGTACTCCTCCGACTGCCCCATCATGTTAGCATCGGGAGTCGCATGCACGATGGCACTGGTGTCCGAATACCACTCGTCTGCAGGAGCATGCACCGGAGCCGGCGGAACGTCGCCCGATACCGCGACGTGAGCTTGCGGCGCGGCTGGTTGCGGATGATATCTCTTGAAGCAGTAGATGGCCGAATGGCCGTGGGAGGGCAAATCTGACACCGAGGGCCTCTGCGGCCACCTCGGTTCTGGCCGCCACGGCCTCCGCGCCCACCGCGACCGCTGGACGAGGAGCCACGACCCGGCTGTTGCTGCTGCTGTCGTCCGCCACCAGAAGACGCACAACGACCCGAACCGGCATAGAACGCCGAATGGGCAGCAGTCCCCTCGGCTGTAGGGAAATCATCCACCAGGATGAATTCATTCTCTTGCAGATAATCCAAGAGATGGGCGAGATTGACTGCATTGCCGGAAGTGAAGGAGGCCGCCAGTGTCTTTAGTTCCGAACGCAGGCCGCGGATGACGTACAAATTCTGCTCCATGAGCGATAGGGGCCGGCCGGCTTGAATGAGAGATTCAACGAGCACTCCCGCACACCCAAGATAGTCGACAGTGGTGGAGTTCGCTTGTCGGAGAAGCTGGAACTGCCCCAAAAGATTGAGGCACCTAGCTTGGCTGGAAGAACCGAGCACCGTGGTGATGGACTCCCAGATCGCCGCTGATGTGTTTCGGCCAAGCGCAAGATATAGGGCCTCATCGGACATTGATGAGATCACGAGTGAAAGGATCGATTGACCTTGTTTCACCCAGGCTTGGTATGCGAGATTCGGAACAACACTGGCCGCCGGAGTGGTGCTTGAATCCGCAGAAGACGAAGGGGCGGCGATCGTCGCCGGCGGGTAGGGCAGGCTGCCATATACGTATCCTAGGAGTTCCTGGCTCTGGAGAAACGGAAGCAGCTGCGTGCGCCAGAATAAAAAATTCCGGGACGTCAGCTTCATAGTCACGTAGTGGTGAGCGCCTGCGAGAGAACTTCCGGCGGCCGGAGATGGGCCACCGGCGGCGACGGCGGAAGGGGTGTGCTCAGAAGAATTCGAAGACATCTCGGTGGAGAGGGGGAAAAATTGACGGTGGAGTTTACGGTGAAGAGGGGGAAATTTGACGGTGGATATGAGATAATATGATCGAGACCCGTCTGATACCAGATTGGAGAATGTCTTTCGATTCAATTAGAAACAGGATAGAGATTACAGAGTATATCACAACTAAAACTCTAACTAACCCTGATAAGTAGAACTAGTCTTGACTAACTAATAACAACCACATAATACAAGACTATACATTATACAATAATAATATGAAATAATAACTTCACTAATAGTTGAGACTGCCTGGCAGGATGGAAGGGATAGGGGTTTGCTGAATTGTCAGCAATATTGTGGTGGTAGGTTTATGCGGTGGGGTGGGGAGCACTGGCATAAATTTGGTGACCGTATAAAGCGGCTGAGAAGGGAACAGGATGCGTTACGACACCGGAGGGATTCAGCTGCTTTGGTTGAATTTCAACGGATTGAGGTAATGCTGGGCCAGGTGGAAGCTCAGGAGGACTGGGTGTTTTGCGACAACGGGCTAAGCAGAACTGGCTCCGGGGGCTGATGCCAACACAAAGTTTTATCACAGGTATGCCTCTGCTCGTAAACGTAAGAAAGGGGAATTCACTGGAAAGCCTGGGATAAGTTGTGTGTCCCTAAGAAGTTTGGGGGCCTGGTTTTTAAGGATCTCAGAAGTTTTAATTTGGCAATGCTAGGAAAACAAGCATGGTGTTTTCTCACAAACCCCAGCTCCATGGTTGCGAAAGTTTATAAGGCTCGGTACTTCCCTATTACATCTTTTGTTGATACCAAGGTTGGCAATTGCCCAAGTTATGCCTGGAGGAGTATTATGGTTGTGCATGACATGGTGGTTGCTGGGGTACGTAGGCGGATTGGGGATGGTAAAACAACTTTGATCTGGGGGTATCCATGGTTTCCTGATGATCCAAGTCCTCTTGTTCAAACAGATATGCCTGAGGAACTCAGACATGCCAAAGTTGCAGGTCTAATTGATGAACAGACTAATATGTGGGATCCCCACATCTTGGTAGATTTATTTGATACTGAGGATGTCAATCGTATACTCAGGATCCCTGTAAGCCCTGGATATGATGATTCATGGTATTGGCCTGGGGACCCAAATGGAATTTATACGGTAAAAAATGCCTACAGGAATATTGTGGGTAATTATGAGCATATGCTAGGGGAATTTGATAGATGGGTTAATATGTGGAAGATGAAGGTGCCCCCAAAATGGAAAACTTTTTTGTGGCGAGCAGTCTGCAATATCCTCCCTACCACTACTAATTTAATTATGAAGAGGGTGTATGTTGAACCAACATGCCAGATGTGTGGTTTAATGCAGGAGAATATTATGCATGCACTAGTTGTTTGTGACTATTCTAGAATTATTTAGAATATTTCAGGATTGCCTGTCACAAATATTGTTACGGATTCTTTCCCTGCCTGGCTAACGGCTGCATTTGAAATTTTGACAAACGAACAGAGAGGTGTTTTGGTGGCGGTTCTATATCATTTGTGGTGGAGTCAGAATTCAGCCGTGTGGGAGAAAACACTCCCCCACCCTGCCGGCTTATGGAGAAGGGCGATCGCGGCTATTGCCTCATACCGCAAAGCAAACCAGCGCCCTCCACCATCGGCGCCAAACGAGCCGGAATTTGAAGCCCACGCCAGGCCAAGGTGCTATGTGGATGCTAGCTACCAGCATGCAACAGGGGAGGCAACCTATGGTATGGTACTTCTCATGCCAGACGGAACCTTTATGTCAACGCGAAATGGAAGATCGCCGACTTGTTTCTCGCCTTTTATTGCGGAAGCCTTAGCTTGCAAGGACTCTTTATCCTGGTTGCTTGAGAGGAATATAGTGGATGTGGACATACTAACTGATTGTTTGCAGCTCCGGAATGTCATGCGCCAGGTGTCAACGACTATAATGTCTTATGTTGGGGTCACAGTAGATCAATGTAGGAGGATGGTGGCTTCGTTTGTTTATTGTTCATTATATTATATTTCTAGACAGCTTAATTCGTCTGCACATGTTTTAGCTTCGTTAGCTTTTACTCAGGACCACTCTATGTTATGGGATGCAATCCCTCCTGACTCTATTGCAGCTTTGCTTCATTAATACAA